CCCCAGCCGGCGTCGTTCGCAGGGTTGAGCAAGCTCATCGCCGCCAGCGGCGCGGGCGCGGCGCCGCCCCTGCCGGCCGCCGCGCAGCCGCGTGCTGTCGGCAGCGGGGGCGACGGCGCGCAGCAGCACTTAAAGCCGTCATTGGCGCCGAACCGAGGCGGCGGCGGGGGCGGCGGCGCTCGCGGGGGCGCGTCTCTTTTTAGCATGCTCAAGGGCGCAGACGCGCTTGGGGGCCGGGGCGGCAAGGGTGAGGATGCGAATCTGATGCGGCAGCAGCAAGACATGGTGCGTGCCACGTTTGGGAAGGCGGGCGGCGCGGGGCGGGGTTGAGGAGGGCGGCAATGTTTGCGCCCGCGGCTGGCGGGGCGCGGGGCGCTTTGTAACTCGCATGCGCCGGCAATTAGCTCGCACTGGCTAGTGAGGCTGCAATCTTCGATTGAATGGCGTCCAGCGGGCGTGACCACACTGGGGCCTGGCCGGCGGCAGGCGGCGGCGGCTGTGACCGACGGGGCGGTGGAGGGAGGGGTTCTGCTGTTTGACTGGCAGCAGGAACGCGCAGGCGCTCCAGCCTAGCGTGCGCCCCCGCGAGGTGGCTGGGATCTCTTGCATCATGGGACCTGGCAAGCTGCGGCGTTATGCCGGGCATTGCCGAGGGCGCCGGCCGCCCGGGCCACTTCACTATAGAAAAGCAGGTGGGGGGCGGCTGGGACCTGGGTCGTCTGTGCGGCACCTTCCCATGTCAGCTCCCCGAACCCGAACTATATCAGCAGACGAATCAATGTTGAATACATGGAATCTTTTATTTAGTCTTCTCCCCCAATAAGTCGTCCGTTGCTGCCGGTAGGCCTGTCTACGCCCCACGTCTAAAAAGCCCTGCTCGCGTGGGCAAGCACTCTGAAAGTGTCAACTTGACCTAATACACAAGTTCAGATTCAGCGTACCCTGGAAGGCCCCTCGGACATCATGGCGCGGACTCACTTCGCCGTGGCAGCGGTCCTGCTGCTGGCTTGTGCGGCTCTCGGCAGTTCAGGTAGGGTCATGTTCATCATATAATCATCTATAATCACGCATGGCAGCGGCGAAGAGCGCCAGCGCCTTCCCGCCAAATGAGCGCGCTGCTGCGTGTGCGGCGCTGCTGCTGCGCTTGCAGCACTGCTGCGGCGCAGCACTGGAGGGGTAGCAGCTCTCACGGCACTCCATGCTGCACACCACAGACAACATCACTGCCATCAACATGCCACCAAGCACACATGTTCCCGCCGCCCACATGCCGCCTGTCCTCCTGCCCCACCCTCTTGCCCACAAACATCGCAGCCGCCTGCACGCCCACCATCGCCAGCGGCTCCGCCTTTTTTGGCGGCGCAGACAAGGCGGCCGCAGACAAGTACGTCAATCAGGCCGCCCGCTGGCAGACGTTTGGTGACATCACCAGGCTCGAGGTGTACTACTCCTCGACAGCAGGGTGCATTTACGGGATCAAGCCGACATATGGCAGGAGCGCCGCCAACGCGGCGCTGCTGGGGCTGGATAAGATGACTGGGCTTAACCACACGCTCACCCTGGGGGCCAATGAGACAATTATCAAGGTCCAGCACAAGTCTGGCGGCAAGTGAGTGCTTTGCTGTGAACACAAGGGAATATTCTTGGTGCGCCATGGTCTTGGTCGGGGCAGCTTCTTTGCTGAAATGCACGACCGTCGGCATGACAAGGCCAGCCTGCTGGGCGGCACCCACTAGAGAAGAGCCTGCATCTGCCGTTCGAGAGGATTCGCCGCGCTCAGCATGGTGCTGCCTGTGTCACGCCAGGTTTGAAGTCCATGACCCCACGTGCATGCACCTCGCCGATCCCCTAGCGGCCCCTCAGCCTCCATGGGCTGCCCACCGACCCCAAACCACCAACCCTTTCACACATCCTCCCCCCCCTGAACAGGTGCATCGAGTACATCAGCCTCTCGACCACCAAGAACCGCACCTTTTCGGTCGGCAACATCAAGAGCGCGACCGCCACGGCCACCCTTACCCCTCCCAAGGCCGGCGCGTTCCTTGCGTCCATCCGCGGCTGGGTCACCAAGGCGGGCGCCCTGCAGGCCCTGCAGCTCGTCTGGGGCGCCCGCGACTGCCCGGCCGCCGCCCCGTCGCCGGCCGCGTCGCCCAAGGCGAGCCCCAAGCCAGCTGCGGCGTCGCCGTCGCCGGCGGCGTCCCCCAAGGCGTCCCCTGCCGCGTCGCCCAAGGCGGTGCCGAAGTCCTCGCCCACGCCCACGCCTACGCCCACGCCCAGCCCCGCCGCCACTCCCAGCCCTAGCCCCAGCCCCGTGCCCGTGGCCGAGAGGCAGATCTGCGCCCCCAAGCTCGACATGTGCGACGAGACGTCCCTCGGGCTCCTCAACACCTGCCGCGCCGCCCGGCCGTTCACCTCGTCCAAGTGCGTCGGCGGTTGCTGCATCAGCAGCGGCAAGTGCAAGTACGGCAACTGCTTCGCCAACGGCCTCGGCACTGACGCAGGCCTGGCATGCTTTGGCACCAACGCGCTGCCCAGCCCGCTCGCGCTGCTGGGCAACCGCTGCGGCCACCTCGCCTGCAAGCTGGCGGTGCCCGGCTGCAAGACGACCTTCCTGGGCGGAAACTGCGTGGGGACGGTGGTCGCGCTGGCAAACGCCAGCCAGCTGCACCCCCAGGGCGCCCAGTACGTCGGCCACCCCTGTATCGAGTCGCTGCCCACCAGCCCGCTGGCCCAGATCGCGAGCAAGGAGTTCATCTGGGCCAACTGGAAGGTCTGCAACTGCATCGACAAGGCGTACACGCTGCCCACCTTCAACCTCTCCAGCTTCCACCTGCCGTCGCTCAAGATCCCGGGCGTGAGCTCCATCAAGCTGCCCACCATTGGCATCTCCAACCCCTTTGCAAACAAGGCCGCGCCGTCGCCCAGCCCTGCGTCCGACGACGGCGGCGACGCGTCGCTCGGCGCGGGCGGCGGGCTGACGGCCCTTAAGGACCTCGTGTTTGGCGGCCTGAGCAGCGGCTCCGGCAGCAGCGACCCCTTCAGCGACTTTATAACCTCGGACAACTCGACGGCCTCCGCCGCGGCGGGCACCGAGGAGGCTGGCGCGGCGCTGGATGCGGGCGCGGGCGGGGAGCTGGATGCAGGGGCGCCGGCCGCCGACGACAGCCAGTCGCTGGCGGCGTGAGCAAATGTTGTTGCGCCAGCTCAGCAGGCGCATCGCATGCGCGCTTGCTGCAAGAACATGAATGAAAGCTCCTGCAGCGGTCAGACCGCCAGTGCCGTCAAAGCTGCTGTCGCGCCGTGCCTTTTGCGCCAACAAAACGGGGCGTCCCTTTTCTAGTCTGTCCATCCTTTGCAGTGCGGTCGAGCGTCTCTCACCCGGCTTCCCAGTTTGCCCCTCCTTTTGTTGACTTGCCGGCCATTGTTTCCTTGGCCAATGTTGCTGCAGTCCACATGCTGTCTGATCCTCCATCCAGTGGAACTCGTTGCTTTCAGCCTTGTTCATTATCTGCTGCGCCCGGGCCGCGCCATCTGTGCAGCACGTCGCAGCAGGTCAGGCCCACACCTTTCTTGCCCTGCCGCCGCCTCTTTCGACCCCTTCTGCCGCTTGCAACCGCCCACCTCCCTGGTAAGGTGTCAGTGATCAAGGGCCTGATCTTCATACACATTGTAGCTACTCAGGTAATGAGCAGCATATGTACGCGAGTACACCAACAGGCTGATGACAGATGGCTTGATGACCGAGTGTAGTGACCCAGCTGAGTGACAGAACGATGGCTGTCGTGGACAAGCTGTTGGCTGGTCTATGATCAATTTCTGTGATTCCTCGCAAGCCTGCTCAAACCCCAGCACTGCACAGCGGAACGCATGCAGTCTTCAAGTGTCAGATCGCTAGGCAGCCGTGCCCCTCACAACAGCATCAGATCTGCAGTGATATGTCACGCGGTGCGTTGGAAAAACAAAAGGCGACCCATGCGGCAGCCGCCGGCCGAGGGACCTGAACAGGACCCAACGCTGTCTTTTTACACAGAGACGTACGGCGTAAGCGTAGAAGAACTTCCAGTCATTGTCAAGGCTCTGGCGCGCCAGAGCGCTGCCGAGCGCGCCGGTGGTGCGGCGTCCGATGACCTGTACGCTGCGCGTGTGGCGAGCGCCACCGTGCTACAGGTGCGAGCTAGGCAGTAAGGCAATGAGCTGGGCGCCATATGCATGGCATCTGTGCGCACTAGCAGCCGGTGTCTTGCAGCGTCGGCTGCTAGACACCGGCAAGTGGCAACAACGCCAATTGTGCACTTGAAAGGCCACCTGGAGTCCTGAGATCCCGCCCTCAGGCCCCACATGCATCCGTACACTGTGCGCATCCAACGCATACACCCCTGCCAGGGCGTCCTCAGCGGCAGCCGCGGCGTGCCGCGCGACCGGGCCATCAAGGTCGTCGCCTCGCTCTGCGACATGGCCGCCTCGGACCTGCTCGCCTCCCCCGACTGGCCGCGGCTGGAGGCCGCCCTTGCGCGCGCCCAGGCGGAGGCCGGTGCTGACTGGGCCGCGTTCACACGCCTCGTGGTGCCGTGCCTGGGGTCGATAGAGGCGAGGCAGGACTACTTGGCAGAGCTCGTCGGCAGCGTGGCGGCGGCGGAGCACAGCGGCGAGACAGACATAGCGCGTGGCTGGGTGAGCGGGCCGCGCAAGCGCCTGTGTTCTGCGGGCCGGGTGGGCCGCCGGCAAGGTGCTGCTCAGGCACAGCATGATGCCGCCTTGATGGACGCTCAGCAGCGCTGCTTGCGCTGTTTGGTCTGCGTGTCTTTTGTAACCGCCAGGC